AAAACAGCTCCCTGGCCGTGCCCTGCTGCTGAAGGAGCTGAGCTTCTGCTGCTGCCCGGACCAAAACAGCTCCCTGGCCGTGCCCTGCTGCTGAACGAGCTGAGCTTCTGCTGCTGCCCGGACCAAAACAGCTCCCTGGCCATGCCCTGCTGCTGAACGAGCTGAGCTTCTGCTGCTGCCCGGAAAGGAGCACTTGTTGTGTTTGTGGGTCAGGGAACACCTGTGCAGTTGTTGCACGTGAGCCAGAGCATGGGACAGACGTTCCCTCCAGCCCCTGCGGGCTCTCCTCCTCCAGGTTCCCTGAACACTCGCAGCACGTGGCAGCTCCTGGAGCAAACTCACAGTGCATTCACCCTCCAGCAATGCCACACTGAGTAACAGATGCTCTGTGGGGTCACAGGGGACCTGGCCACAGCAGGTACAACACTGACTCTTGGGGAAAAGGCATCTGAGAGCCCTGACAAAACATCAACCACACTCGACTTCAGGCACAGGCAAAGCTTTTCTGACCCTGCTGCAGCTAGAGCTGGCTCAGGAACTCCTGGGGTTTCACAGCCACAATCCTCCTGTTTTACAGACTCCAGCAGCCTGGCCATGCAGATACTCAGACACTCACTGCATCAGGGAGATGCTTTAGTTAGGCTAAAACATTAAACCAGTGGAAGAAAGAGCACATGCAAATATGATTTTGTTTGTTTGTTTGCATGTTTTCAAAAAAAAGTCAAATGCCCTTGTGGGTGTGAAGAGCCCAAATAATGCTGTGAAAACCCAACACAGAGCTGCTACACTGCGGCAAGGATTAAATAACACTCCTGCCCCCAAATGCAGTGTAACTGCCAAATAAAATTCAGCCAGGAGTGTTTGTCTTTCACTATCTAAATAAAGTTACTCGAGGCATTTAGGTTATTTTCCCCAACTACTTTTTAGAGGGGAAAAACAACTACAGATTTAACACAACTCTTTCTCTGTTTCATATCAATTTAAGGCAGACAGCAGAGAACAGCACATGTTTCTGTATTCCTGAGGAAATGACTGAATTGTCTGGAAGCAAGAGACGTTGGAAATAATGAACAAAAACATGCAGGGATTACTGGAGAAAGCAGAATGAGGGTTGTGTAAATGGGTATAATTTCTGCAATGCTTATGATTCTTCATCCATGTGAATGGGAAACAACCTGGCAAATATTACAGGAAATTAAATATTACTCTTAAATACACTATTAATTAACTGCACTTTTCATTACTGGTTTATCAGCTATGTAATAATGAACTTCAAAATAGAACCAGTCTGTTAGTGTGTAACTTAAGAGATGCTGGTGTTTGATTTCAGCCCAATACCCTCAGACAGACACCTGTGTGCCTGCTGTATGGCAAATAAGACTACCCCATTTATTTCCTACTGAGCTTATTTTCTAGCAATATAAATATCCTGCAGCCTTTTGACCACTGCAGAACAGCAGCAGCTATCAGAGCCAGCTGGCATTGCTCTGAAGCTCGCAGGCACATTGTGATGTGCTGCACAGTCCAAGTGGGGATACCCCCTGTCCTCCAGCCCCATCTGCACATGGCCACTCTGGGCCAGGCACAGAGCCAGCCCAGCTCTCTGCTGCTGGGTGGGCTCATACTGACTGATGCACTAGCCATGCTCAAGCTGAGCCTACCTCCCTCTGAACTAAAGCTCAGTTCCAGCAAGCAACTCTTTGGGAAAGTTCCCTTGAGTGAAGGGAAAACACCCAGTGGGCATCTTCTCAAAGCCAGGAGGTTCCTAGAGCACATAATATTGCAAAGGAAATGAAAATCTCATGCAGATCACTCACTTTCCAAACTCTGAGAATAAAGTCGTGAAAGATAAAATAACTCAAGATTACTGAAATTAATTAAAAACATTACTTCAGGCAAGGCAGAATTAAGCAACACAAGACATACAGAGGGGCATTTCAGTGCAGTTGGTTCCTCTCCCATTCCCAACCTTGGTGGGATTTCCTGGTGGGAAGCCTGTGCTTCCTGGACTCAGCCCCAGCTCCTGAGGGACCCCACGTACCACGGGCTGCAGCGGGGCTCCGGGCATCATGGCATTGGCCAGCTGCATCTGCTGGGCCAGCATGGCCATGTTCTTCTGCTGGATCAGGTTATTGCGGCCGTTGATCTCCAGCTGCGTTTTTAAGTGTGGTGGTGGGTGAAGATATTTGCAGTTTTCCCTTGAACATCGGCCCTGAAGAAGAGAATGGACACAGTAGGATTAGAAGCTGCATCTTTGTTCCTTATGCCACGAGCTAAAGCAGACACAAGCAGACACACTTACCACATACCTGGAAAAAGAGATCTTAAATGAGCACAATGTAAAAGTCAGAGCCAGTTACTGCTAAATGGGTAACATGGAATTACAGCATGTGTTGTTGGAATCAGAGCAGTTAACCAACCTGATTCTGAAACCCAGATTTAACTCAATGTCCTCATTTCAGTGCTGGGGTTAAGGCTGTTCCACAGCTCTCTGGATGAGATTCAAACCCTGGCAGTACGTGTTGTACACCCCAACCACTCAGTGTACTTCATACACTCAAATGCTTTACAGCCATAAAAAATGATTCCTGTGATCTAATGCAATGTCCTCTGGCTCCCAGGAAACAAGCAGCCTCGCTGCTTCCCTATTGAGACCAGCATTTCTATCCACCTAGGCGATGGTCTTTAAGGAAAGCTATTTACTCAAAGACTACCAGAAAATACCCCAGCCCCAGGTAAACCGTGCTTATGCTTTGCTACCACCAGCTACTACCAAAACACTTACATCCTCCTTGTTTGCATGTAGCTCTGGAGCTCAGGGCACCTTTAACCTTCAATCTTTTTTAATTTACAGATCTTAGCACATTTCCCAGAAGAAATGCAGATTTTTCTGTCTGGGAGCAGGGTTTCCTGCTTCACTTTTATTTCATGGACCTGTACAAATGGTGCACAGAGCGCCCAGGAGCTGGAAGCTGCAAGCCAGGGGCACAGATGTCACCAGAGCACGGGCAGTGCTCACCCCTTGACCCCGCAGCTCCCAATCACCCTGCCACCGGATCCTGCTAACTGCAGCCCGCAGAGCTCAAGGCAGATCTTCATCTCTCTGAACCTTCTCTGAACTCTCCTCCAATCATTACAAAAGGACTATTATAAGTGAGAAAATTCAGAGGTGGCAGGGGATGCTGCAGTGGCCTGATGGGCCACACCAGCAGAGCAGGGGATTAACCCAATCCTACTGGACTGAAACTCGGGACAAATGCTCCTGAGGCTCCCCAGCACGCCCCTCAGGGCCAGCTGGGTGCCTCGGTGTCCCAGCAGTCTCACGGGGTGCTTTGTCCCAGCTCTGGGCTCAGCAGGGTCGGGCAGTGCCTGCTGAGCTCAGCTCAGCCCCTCTGGACAGCGCCGTGTCTGCAGCAGCTGCCACGCAAACTCCTCACTCTTATTTGAAGCGTGACTCTCCTTGCAGCAGTAAATCTTTTAATCTCATGCTGCCTCTCCATTTCTTTTTTTGGTGTTTATAATAGATTTATTTCCTGCTCTGTATAGTTCACTTTCATTGTCACAAACGAAGAAATGCCATCCACTCCGGATGGGAGCAGGACGTGCCTGACCTTGCTGTGTTCAGCCTCCTGTGACGCCTCATCGGGTGCAGCACAGGGCTCAGCATGGTCTGGTGATCAGGAGTTGGACTGGGAGGATTTTTCACCTTGCTTTCAGGGGAGCAGGAACTTGTACCCGTTCCCAGGCACCCTCCCACAGGGCAGAAGCATCCCCAGCTACTCCCCACAAAGCACAAGGCGCTTTGTGTGAACACTCAGAATCGTGGAAAACACGGCAAACTCGGACAAAAGAAAATGACCAATCACGCCTTGGAAAAATCATTTCCAAAATTCTACATTCTGAAAATCCAGGGTATTTCTAGAAGACTTGGCTTCTCTGACAGGTGTGTTGGATGATGTCAGTACATCTGGGTTTTTCAGACCTGCACACAGGTGAACAGGAGTGTGCCCATCTCTGTGTGGTCACCACCAGGCTCTTCCCCACAACACCAGATTTCTGGGAAGTATAGCACACCCTGTTTTTAACATCCCACAGTAAATGTTAGCAATACAACTGCAATTTTTGCTTTCTGATAATAATCTCCTTCCAGAAAACACCCTAATTGCATATTTAATAACACAAAAGCTTTCTTGGGATTCTCTTCTTAGACTGCAAGCTCCTTTACTCGCCGAGTCTGTGATTCTGTAATTTGAAGTGGCTATTCATGGTCAGACCTACAACCCTCTAACACTGAACGGCCTACCTCCTAAAAACAGAAGAAGAACCTCCTTGTGGCAAACAGAGACTCCAGTGAGCGCTACACATCCCAGCTGCCCTGCGTGAACACACCACCCCATCACTGCTGAGCAGTAATTAATGACTGGCAGAGCTGCCACTCACTGAACCACGTGGGGATGCTCGGAGGGTGCTGGAGCTGCGTGTTCCCTCTCTGGGGGCTCTGCGGGGGCTGCTTCCCCCGGGCCGGGCTGCCAGAGCTGCAGAACCAGCAGCCACGCTCGGCAGTGCAGCTGGAACACACGGCACGCTCCTGCTCCAAAACAAACACACAAACAGCTCCCTCTGCCAGGAGCACAGATCGAGCACAAATCCCTCCTGACCCGAGCAGGACGATGGATGGCTGCTGCGTACCATCAACCATTGCCTGTAAATGGTAAAACTATTCCTCCTGGCCCATGTGTTTTACCGGAAAACATTTAACTCCATGTAAGCTATGGTTTCCTTTTTAAAAATAAACTGTTTGCAGGCGTGTTGAGGCTGCCTGCCACGTTCAGAGAAAGCTTTTTAATGTATCCCAGGGCCTGCCTGGCTGCCTGCAGCCCATGACTTACACCTCTGAGGCAGTGAGAGGCAGGGCTGCAGTCACTGAGCCTCCACAAAGCTGATGCACAGCCTGTTTGCAGACAAGCCCAGCGCCTGCTGGAGGGGTCCCTGCACCCAGCCCTGCCCCTGCCCGACGCGGTGGGACCACCGGGGCCTCTCCCCAGAGCTGGTCCCACACCGTAACCAGAGCTGGTTCAGGGCCAAACCCAGAGCTGGGGGCAGTGCTCGCCCTCCAGACCCTGCAGCTCCCCCAGCTCACAGCCCAACAGCCTCCCATGGAGGGGCTCTGGGTCTGGACACTCCCAAAGAACTCTCAGAGCAAGCAGAATGCCAGCTGAGGGCAAACACACATCTCAGGGCAAGGAGGTGAGGGCATCACCCCTGTGGAGCCCCCTCAGCTCCCCCCAGGGCTGCTGCTGCGGCACAGGGATACTGATGGCAGCACTCCGCAGACACTTTTTAAAGTGAATCCTTTCATGTGAAAACACACCAAAGTGACCACTTAATGACGTCTCTGTGTGCGACTCTTGTACATAAAAGCCTCAACCCCTCTAATGGATCATTTGGCTTGCACAGCTAATAGCACTCCTACCGGAGTTGTCCTACTGCCATGAAATACAACAGGATTTAAAAAAAGAAACAAAAAAGCAAACAGAGCAAGCAGACTGCCAGCAGGAAACAGAAGGAAAGACACCAGCTCAGCAGCAAAACCCTCCCTGCTGCTCCTGCTGTCTGTGGGTCCTTCCTCCTCCCCAGCCCCAGGGAAGCACAGAATGATCCCCAGTGCCACAACAGTGGCATGAGGATGGGGATGGGGACACGGATGCAGATGGTGACGTTCACACCTGTGCCACTTTTCTTTGCACCCACAGTGATGTCAACTCAGCACCTGTCCAGCCCTAGCCACCCTGACTCAGGGTAAGGTGGCTGCTAGGATACCTCTAATGACCCCAATTCTCATTTCATAACAGCATGAGCAAATGCATCAACTACATATGGGCATACAAGTACTTACATAAATTCTCTAACTTTTATACATTTTATTTATATTTATGTATTTTAAAATGTATGTGTTTTAACATTTGTATAAATATTCAATACAAGATGTGGTTGATCTTGGTATTACTACAAATGTTTGTATATCCCCATGTCTGTATAGACACCACATACGTATCAATCCATCAATATTTATATTGACACTCCCAGGACACACAAACTGTCGCCTGGGATTGAGCAACACTTCATTTCCTCCCACCTGCCCCTAGGCAGTGCTGTACCCCAGGACCCGAGGGAATTACGTTTTTCCAGGGGTGCAGAAAGAGCAGCCTCCCCCCAGCCCGAGGGGCAGCACGGGGCTCACAGCACCATTGGGAGCCACAAGCTCTTCCAGTGCTGCCAAATCCTTTTAGAGGCATCTCTGGTAACCCAAATGGTGCTCACTCAGGCATGCAATGACCCACAATTTAAGAGGAGATGACTACGACTTTCTGTCCGGATCAAGTAAAACACAGGGCAGATTTAATCTGTTTATCGGTGCAGATTGCCACGGTGCCCAGCTGCAAGTGGCCAGGACAGAGGGATGCTGAGCAGGCACTGGGATTGCTGTCATCCAAATCCTGCTCACAGCTGTAATCCCCTGACAGCGACCCGGCAGGCAGGACACAGAGCACTGCACAGAGCCCTCACCAGGAATTTGCCCTGAACAGACCAAGCAGATAAGCAGCAGGAGAGGGGTGAGGGCCCATCCATCAGTGTGCCCATCCTTCTGCACAGAGCTCGGGACTGAGCCCATCGCGGGCACCCGCTGCACCGGGACCGCAGCTGGGCACCCCTGGCAGCTGCCTTTAGCTGCCAGAGACACCACATACCCCCAGCCTGGCATCCCCTGTCCCACAGGGCAGGACCCGCATCCCCCACGTGCACTGATGTGAGCAGGGACAGAACAACCCCCTCCAGATGTGCACACGGGCGAGGGGTGCACAGGCTCCAACGCAAGGACTGGGGGAGAGGGGCAGAGAGAAGCCCCCCTTAGCTTGGGTGCACTGCCACCCTGACAGCAGGCAGGACCTTCAGCAGGGCATTTTCACTGCGGCGCTGTTTGACACCTCAGCTCCCGAGCAGATGGCACAGGGAGCTCCCGGGGGCTCTGTCCCCAGCCTGGCGTGAGCACAGCAGTGCCCACTCCCGTGCGTGCCCGGCGCACACCAGGGCAGCGCCGAGTGCCCCAGAATTACCGTCAGGGCCACAAACCGCCCGTGCTGCCACAGCACAGCACCGGCCTCCTGCAGCTCCGTGCCTGGCAGCTCTGATGTTTTCATGGCACAGAGCCTG